TCAGATCAACTACACCTTCAACATTAAGAATATTAGAGATGCTGTGGGAAATAAGATGCTCTTTCCTACCGAGGCACGCAAACTCCCATCGTGTCCCAAATCACATTCCGTGAATCGAAAGGGGAAGCCTACTCATCCATTAGCTCCTCTCGTAGATCGATGCGGTTTTACGAATTAGTGACTCCGACTCTAGAACAGCTCGGTGAGGCTCTAGAATGTGTTGGGAAGCCCTCTGCCACTTGGGATTTGACTACTCATGGCATGGTACGACTAAAACCCGAGGATGTTTCACTAGCTACTGCGGGATGGTTATATATAGTCAAAAACAGAATTCTGCCAACGGAGCATGATGAGCATGTCACTCAGGATAGGGCACTGCTGGTTTATGCCATGCTAAAGGGCATAGATGTGAATTATGGAGAATTGATCAATACCAGTATCCATGAGTGTGCCCACCGGACACGTGGTAAGCTTTATCACCCACGCTTGGTCACTTCTTTATGCTTGCGACAAGGTGTGCAGCTCCCTGCGGATCAAATTAAGAGAGATGTCCCAGTTGCGGAAGAGAAGAATATTCGGAGAATTATCGCCCATGCGCTACAAAGAAGGAAAGGTACTGGGACGTGTCCTACATCGGAGATCCGTCGTCTACGAGAGGAGAACCAACAACTGCGAGATCAGGTTCGAGAAGTCGTGCAACATATATACAACTTGAGGGCTTCATTGGATTTTGCGGTTTTACCTTCATGGTCTCCAGCGCTAGCTGCTATCCTTGGTCATCCATCTTCCAGTACCGACGCTGATCCTAGTCCACAACCTCCAACTTCATAAAGGGGAGGTTCCTTCTTTGCTATTTTTTTTGTGTATTATTCTTTTGGTTAATGACGTCGTTTACATATTCTCGCCTTCCTACGCATGTTTTTTGTATTGATTATGTTTCGAGCTCAGTTGAAGCATGTATAAATTAGTATCGTTTATCTTCTGATCACTTAAAGTATGCCTTC